ATTATTATTATTATTATTATTATTATTATTATTTTCTTTCTTTCTTTTTCTTCAATCAAAAATTTATCGTTCACGCGGAGCATCTCTGCAAATGTCAGTCTTGGAGCATCTCTTTGTTTAGTCATTCGTTCGATGAGAAATTAACTGGTAAGAAATTTCATTCATCATCGACGGCCGCGTAACGTAATTTGCAGAGTCTTGGCCCGAGTGAACCGAGAATCTCTTTCGCGAAAGTAGTCATCTCGCTTCCGCGGGATAGATCTCGTGGGGGTGTGCAACACCCGTGGCTCTTCCAACTGTTTCGAAAAGTTGGAAGAGCCAGGCGGAATGGTAATCACATATTGGCTGGTGGGAGGATACGCGGAACTCGATTCAGAGGAGAGACTCGTCGACCGACTGTCGATATAAATGTAAATGAATGCCGCAGCTTGCAACGGCGTGTCGATTGGACTGAGAACAAATTACCATCGCGTAAAATTACGATCCTTTGATCGAGCGTCGCGTACGTACAGCCACCTTCGAAATTGTCATCATCGATCCTTTAGCGGGGAACGACTAAAGCACCTTCATAAATTTTCATCGGGCGATCTGTTCTCGATCCCGGTGACGCGAGAATCTCTAACCTCATATTTATCATCGTTTGCCTCGGGTCACAGGGTTACGAAAAGTAACGTAAAGAGAAAACCACTTGGCACGCTTGTTCCTACCGCTTGAATAAACCCAGAGAGATATATTTCAGAATATATGTTCTTCGTCATCATCGTTCTCGATTCACCCATTTTTCGAACGAAATTTTCCGTGGAAAGCAGGAACATTAACAACTGCGAGAGGTCGTCATTCACGAGACGGCTCGAATAAATGTTTTCAGGTGCACACGGCGGTGCAGCAGCCCGGATTCAAGAGGGTGAAGAGAGGCTACAAACCTCTCAGCGTGGATAATCTGGTGCCACCTTATCAAATTCAAAATCCGGCGAACCCTGGCAACCGTGATCCCTCTGACCCTTACTTCCAGTATCAATGGTACTTGAAGAACACTGGCCAGAACGGCGGCAAACCGAAATTGGACTTGAACGTGAAGGCGGCCTGGGCTCAGGGTGTCACTGGAAAAAACGTCACCACGGCTATAATGGACGACGGTGAGATTCTACTTGAACTTCTCCAATTAAATCTTTCGCTACAGTAGACTTTGAACGCTATTCTTCATTCCTACTGGTAGGAATGCAATCACGATCCACACTGAGAACGACGAAGATTTTTCGTCGTCCTGCATTTCTCAGAAAGTATATTATCAAATAATCAAAACGCTGAATCGCACTGAATGTCGAACAAATGTTATTTATTTATTCGTATTCTCTGTATTGAATTGCAAGTGCACATGCTAAGGATTTAACAGTAACTTTGAGCTTTTTATTTCATAATGTGTCTGACGATCTAGTAAAGTGTGATACAATTCGAAACACGAGTCAATATATAATTCTACATCACATTCCTTGCATTCGTAGTACGTCCCCCTTCTTCAGTTGTGTTTTCTACGCATTTACTCTCTTTTGTGATTAAATCTGTCACCATACCTTTTCATATTAAATGAAACTATAAAATAATCACGTTTAAATAATATATGACTAATGGAAGATGTAATTGTTGAATTAGAGTTCACTTGTTTCTGATTCCAAGTGAAGTTTGCTACAATTATTGTCGATAGCATTTGTCGGACGCTTGTAGGCATTTTCAGTTCGGTTCGAGCAATGTGAAGTGAGCGCTCATAGGCGCCAACAATAGCCAAGAGGTTAAGTGAAATAATTGTAAAATGATCACGTTTAAATAATACGTGACTAAGGGAAGATGTAATTGTTGAATTAGAGTTCACTTGTGTCTGATACCAAGTGAAGTTTGCTGCAATTATTGTCCATAACATTTGTCGGACGCTTGTAGACATTTTCAGTTCGGTTCGAGCAATGTGAAGTGAGCGCTCATAGCCGCCAACAATAGCCAAGAGGTTAAGTGAAATAATTATAAAATAATCACGTTTAAATAATACGTGACTAATGGAAAATGTAATTCTTGAATTAGAGTTCACTTGTGTCTGATACCAATTATTGTCGATAGCATTTGTCGGACGCTTGTAGACATTTTCAGTTCTGTTCGAGCAATGTGAAGTGAGCGTCCATAGGCGTCTCTCGTTTCAGCGAATCGAAGTAAGGCCCCAACAGTAGTCAAAAGATTAAGCTTCGTTTATAATATAATGTAATATATCTTTATAATATAAAATATTTAATAATCTAGTAAAGTATGGTACAATTCGAAACACGAGTCAATACAATAATCCTACATCACATTTCTTGCATTTGTAATGCGTCTCTCCCTTCTTCTGTTGTTCTATTTCCTACAGGCTATAAATTCCCACCATGCATTTGTCCGGATAGTTGTGTATTGTTTACGTATGCGGACGGAAAATGCCTTCGCCTCAAACGTAAAAACTCAGTTATCAGTATTTTTATCTTTCCATTTACACACATGTACGTACTTGGTTTGTATTTTTTGTGAAATGTGTTTCATTCATCAATATAAATGTAGTAGGCGCCTTCAGTTCGATTCGAGCAGTGTGAAGTGAGCGCCCATAGGCGCCAACCTCAAAAGCAAAATTTCAAAGGCGCCTTTGGCCGCCAAAGGGGTATAATTGATTAAACGCAACGTTTCAAATGCTGTTTGCGGTAGTGGTTGTAGAATAGAAACGCGAAGCTACGGGGACAGGTAATTACTGTTTTACATCGAGTGACTCTGTGGGTCACATACACGTGTACGCGTATATAGGCGTAGGACGATTTAATGGAAACAATTTTACCCGCGATGTCTCGAAATCTCATTAAGAGGAAACGTTTTAGCTTAGATTACGCGACGCATGAATGTCAGTAGCCGCGTGTTCCTGAGGTTGGTCGATTATTAATTGCACTCAGTCGAGCAGTGTTCCGCGAGCGCTGGATAATCAATTATCTCGACGTAATTTCATTAATTATCATCGTCCACTACTTTGATCCTCTGTGAAAAATAATCTTTACGCGCGCTGTCGCGTGGAACAAACGATTACGCAAGAAGTGGCAGATAAATCTCTTTTTAAAGTGTTTCCCACTGACACGACAACCACGACAGGACGCGCTTGTGTTTCCGGATTGTGCGCGCGTTGAATATAGTCGGACGAAACTACAGGCGAGATGAAATATCTATTCGAAGTTCGTGGATTGATTAAACCGTGTTGTTGCGTGTTGTTTCACACAGAGGCAGACGGTCAACTGGCCGGCGAATCCAGCGAATCGAAATCGACACGACAAGTTCAATTCCGCGGCGATGTATTAACAACTAGTGTATTAACAACCGATCGATTTTATCGTGGCTTGATATTATTTAGACTTTTGTTCGTTCGTGGAATCATAGCCATTCCTTCGTATTCCTTTTATCAGCGATGTCCTTTTATTCCTTGTACTGTTGCAGAGCATTTTTGAAATTTCGACTCTCGACGAGTTATCGTTTTTTTTTTTTTTTTTTTTTT